GTAAGTTGGAGTAGCAAGATATCCCTGTTATCTAGCGTGTTTATGAGACAGAAAAAGACACCAGCAATCCTACCATCATGCAAAACAGTTACAGGTTTCTGTTTCACAGTCATCTGGCAGGACAGTAGTACTTCCCTGGGTGGTTGCTGTCTACCAACCTACTACCTCAATACATATAGTATTTAAATGACTAATTAAATAGATAAACATTTAAATGAACATTTAAAATCCCATTTAAATACATGTACCTATATTGAAGACTCTTGTTGGTGTATGGAAGACAGGGAAGGGAGAGGGAGGACTTATTGTATGGAAGGGGAATCCCCCACCATAAGAACTTCAGGTATCAAAGCCCTATCTGGGGTTACTTCCCTTCTTTGTCTTTTACTGGCACTAGGACCAGCTTGAGAGTCACTGGACCCCTGTCGCACAAAAAACTGTCCAGAGAGCTCTCTTGCTGTTGTTTCTTTAGCATTTGTGTGAAATGGGGCTTGATTTTGTCACTGAACATGTTGCAGAGATGGCATGTTTCAGCTTGCTTAGGGTGATGTTTCTCAGCAAAAGCTTGCACCCTACTCCACCTTGCACAAATCTCCTTAATTTCTTTCTTCAATTCTGTCATGTTTCTCACTTTCTCTATCAAAGGGCTGGCACTAGGAAGTTTCTTTGGGCTCATGGTTAATTATGTAGCAATCATACTCAATCAACAAGCACAAAAAACAATGGCTTATGGTGAAATGTTTGGATGAACACGCAGGGTAATGTTCACTTGAGGAGAAACAAAGCCAGACTGACAATGCATACGTGGGATGCTTTGTGTGGGCGCGGGCAGGCAGACAGGTCTAGTACGGCAGCTGAAACTCAAGGTACTGTTCGAAACTCAAGACAAAATTTAGACAAAAAAAGTGTCCAAAACTTAAAACAGTCAAAACTTGGGGAGGCCAAAACTCTGAAGTTTCATTGTATTTCACTATTCTGTACATGTATATATGTTTTACATGCAATAGATATAATATTACTTACCTATTTGTAAAGATATCCATATCTTTGTTATTTATAGTACAACTCACAGCAAAAATATGCTTGAAAAGTTTGGTGTTGGAGGAAGGATAGCCTTCATTCTGGGCAGCAGGTGGCAGGACCTACTAGGTGGAAATTTCACCTCCGTCTCTCTGGCTTTAGCACACACCATGGGGTATTCAAATTTTTGTTTTATTTGGGGGTAGGCCAAAGTGAAGGTTCATCTTATATGGTATAGCAGTTTTACCAGAAATGTGGTGATTTGCTACTTGCATGGCTAAGTGGTTAAATTAATTAATATTCTGTGCTTGAAAGCACAAGTCAAGGGTTGCTGGAATATAAGATAATGTTAGGTTCAATGTGTCCATTAGTTCTGCCATTTGCATGAAGTACATGTATTTCATTATATACAGTATCTGTTAATGAAGCATTCATATTTTTCTAAGAAATCTCAACTGCAGTTTTTACAGTATTTGACTTTTTTTTTTTTTTTTTTTCCAAGTGATGTTCCTTAAGGATTTTTAATACAAAAATATTGTCTTTGTGAGCATCTATAAACACATTTTGTAGAAGAATTGTTAGAGATTATTCTGCTGTATAGCTCATTTGGGTTAGTGTTATCTTGTGAATACGTACGGTGGTACCTCGAGTTTTGGCCATAATTCGTTCCAGAAGGCTGTTCGAGTGCCGTTACTGAACGAATTTGTTCCCATAAGGAATAATGTAAATTAGATTAGTCCGTTTCAGACCCCCAAAAATACACTTACAAAAACACTTACGATAATACACTTACATATTTGTCCGAGTTGGGAGCTGTATGAAACTCGGGGTACCACTGTATAATAACAGGAATTGTTCTGCATTAATGTTTCTCGAAATTTAGAACTAATTGAGATGAAAAGGAAAATACATTATTAGATTTCTGCCTAGAGTGGCAGTTCTGTAGTGGGTGTGCAGTTGCATCACAGTATTATTAATATCAGATATAGTTTCTATAGTCACTTTGTACTTGTCAAAATTAACACTTAGACGTTTCGGCATTCACTGGATGGCAAAATGTCGACAAATAAAGACATTCAGATGTTGCACATATCTAATTTTTCATCTTGTCGGTATTATATGCCATTCATGTATAAAATACTGTTTAAGAATGCATAATTTGTTGTGGATTTGAGTTACATTCATATTGTATTTAATTTTTCCATAAATGTTTTGAAAGTTCTCTTGATACATCTGTATGGGAAAATCATTCCAGCATTTAATTAAGATTGCAGTAGTATTTTAAAATACTTAAAGATAAAAAAAAAATCCATGAAAATCCCAAATGATTATTCTATACTTAAATTACTGTGTTTTGATATTTATGGAGAGAAAAAACTTTTGCAGCTTATAAATTAAAAAAGTGAATTTTCTTCATTTCTTCTAGGGAGTTTTGCTAGTGTTATGCTTTAAAATAGTGTATGTACATTTGTTAAGCTGAACTTAGTGAGTGGTTTTTTATCATGAAAATAATTGTTGATTGCAACAGGTGCAGGATGATAGAAGACTATATTATTACTTGATGGTTCACTTGCAGCAGGTGCAGGATGATAGAAGACTATATTATTCTTTTAATAGTTCACTTGCTTAGATACAGTGCCAGTGCAATATTACCTTAAAGGAAGAAAGAGGTTGGGGTGCCTTGATGCTAATAAAGGGCTCAGTTCAAGGAATTGGATCAAACCTGATTACCCGTCACTTCTCCCATTCCCCAGGCAATGTATGACCTTTATGGGTTTAGCTCTTTTCCTATGAATATGCTAATACAATCATTTTCAGTGTTTGTCATTATGTTAATTTATGATGAAAGTAAAGGTGGCCCTGACTTACGTAGATCTACGTTTGAACAGTTTAAAGGTTAACACCCCCCCCAACCCTGCATATATGAATATATTTTCCTGGTGAAATAGCCTTTAGAAAACAGTAATTTTATTGTATACTGTTGGGTCTGAGGAACAGAACTTCCATTTACAGTGGACCCCCGCATACCGCACGCATCGCATACCGTACAATCCGCATACCGCTCGCTTTTTTCGCAAAAATTTTGCCTCGCATACCGCCCAAAAATCCGCTCACCGCCCTTCGTCCGAGACGCGTCCAATGTGCGGCCTGAGCCATGCTCACAAGTTCCGCGGTGGCATTGTTTACCAGCCAGCCTCCGTGGTAACATCCAAGCATACAATCGGAACATTTCGTATTATTACAGTGTTTTTGGTGATTTTTTCTGGAAAATAAGTGACCATGGGCCCCAAGAAAGCTTCTAGTGCCAACCCTACAGCAATAAGGGTGAGAATTACTATAGAGATGAAGAAAAAGATCATTGATAAGTATGAAAGTGGAGTGCGTGTCTCCGAGCTGGCCAGGTTGTATAATAAACCCCAATCAACCATCGCTACTATTGGTGGTACAGCTGCTGCTGTACCACCGTCAGCTGCTGCTGCACTGTCAGCTGCTGCTGCACTGTCAGCTGCTGCTGCACTGTCAGCTGCTGCTGCACTGTCAGCTGCTGCTGCACTGTCTGCTGCTGCACTGTCAGCTGCTGCTGCTGTTGTACCACCACCATCAGCTGCTGCTGCTGCTGTAGCATCGTCTGCTGCTGCTGTAGCATCGTCTGCTGCTGCTGTAGCATCGTCTGCTGCTGCTGTAGCATCGTCTGCTGCTGCTGTAGCATCGTCTGCTGCTGCTGTAGCATCGTCTGCTGCTGCTGTAGCATCGTCTGCTGCTGCTGTAGCATCGTCTGTTGCTGCTGTAGCATCGTCTGCTGCTGCTGTAGCATCGTCTGCTGCTGCTGTAGCATTGTCTGTTGCTGCTGTACCACCGTCAGCTGCTGCTGCTGCTGTAGCACCGTTGTTGGTGTGGCTTATTGAGAATACCAAGAAACAATTAACCCCAGAGGATTTGCCACCCAGGATAACCCAAAAAAGTCAGTGTCATCGAAGACTGTCTAACTTATTTCCATTGGGGTCCTTAATCTTGTCTCCCAGGATGCAACCCACACCAGTCGACTAACACCCAGGTGAACAGGGAAAAATGCCTGGAACTAGTGCTCATATTGGTGAATTTAAAGCCAGCAAAGGTTGGTTTGAGAGATTTAAGAATCGTAGTGGCATACACAGTGTGATAAGGCCTGTTCTGGAAGAAAATGCCAAACAGGACCTACAGTACTCAGGAGGAAAAGGCACTCCCAGGACACAGTGTCTCATCAGTCATTGCTGCATCTTCAATAAAGGTAAGTGTCATTTATTCTTCATTTAGTAGAGTAGTACATGCACAATATATATTGTGCATGTACTACTCTACTATTGTGCATGTATCCTTCTCTTTGTGTGTAGGAAAATGTATATTTCATGTGGTAAAAATTTTTTTTTCATACTTTTGGGTGTCTTGCACAGATTAATTTGATTTCCATTATTTCTTATGGGGAAAAGTCATTCGCATACCGAACATTTCGCATAACAATCAGCCCTCTTGCACGGATTAAGGTTGCTATGCGGGGGTCCACTGTATAATGTTGTGCAACTAGGAAATAACTAAACTTAAATTGGCTTGACTGATCATGACTTGTGAAACAATTTATATAAATTGAACTTGTGAAGGAAGGGGGGCCCTTATAATGTACAGTGGTACCCCGAGTTTCATACAGCTCCCAACTTGAACAATTATGTAAGTGTATTATTGTAAGTGCTTTTGTAAGTATATTTTTGGGGGTCTGAAACGGACTAATCCAATTTACATTATTCCTTACCGGAACAAATTCATTCAGGAACGGCGCTCGAACAGCCTTCTGGAACGAATTATGGCCGAAACTCGGGGTACCACTGTATTTAGTATTGTGATTACCTATTTGTGATTACACTTTGTTGCTACATGAGTCTTTCAATGTGATGGTTCATTAATTGAAGGAAAACCCTGAGAAATGATATTTTGATGACAACTTTCAGGCAATGTCCAGTGGAGAAGTAGTTGGAGCCATTGTTTGCAAGTTAGACGTGCACAAGAAAGTGACTGTGAGAGGATATATCGCCATGCTTGCCGTCGATCACAGGTTTCGAAAAAGAAAAATAGGTAAGAATTACTACTGTTTATATTTTCTGCTCACTATTAGCCCACAGTTTGAAGAGGAAGCTCTAGATGTTTTAGACCATCCTTAATCATTATCGAATCTACTTGACTTGATAGTTGTCCAGCACTGACTAAAACATGTAAAGTTTTCTCCAAATTGCTGGTTAATAGTGAATTGCTTCACACACAAGTAACCCACACACAGGAGGGAGACGTTTACGATGACTTGGACCATTTACAAAGTCACACTAAGAAAAAAAAAGAGGGGGGGGGAGCCTTACCACTACCACTACTCTTCCTTCCCTTGGTTTTGTCCCTGTTAAGCTCACCGCTTTATACTGGCTCTCCCTCTCTCTCTCTGTTAGTGTGACTTTGTAAGTGGTCCAAGTTGGACTGAAACATCGTAAGCTCCTCTCTTCAATGTGCAGGTTGTTTGTATATTGTTCCAGTCATGGTATTGTGCCTTTTTGTCCTTTGTGAATTGCTTCAGCTATGTATTATGAGTTTTTTTTTTTTTATAATTTATGATGTGATAAGTGTGCACGAGCTGTGATCCTCATGATTTACATGTTGAAAAAAAGTGTGCAGAAAGTCAGTAAACATGCACATAAGAAGGGCAACACTCTTGCTTTTCACTGGATACATTTTATATTTTCTCCCATATCTCTTACTCCAGTATGTTGTTATGACAGTGTGCAGAGTTAGGACTAGGCTTTCAGGTACCTTCCAAATGTAAATTATCATGCATCTCCATCGATTACACATTTAGGACTCATAAACTCATAATAGCATGATTGTAAAGAAATCAGGCAATGGATGGGGTTTGAACCCATGGTAAGTGAGTTCTAGAACTCAACTTGCCATAGGTTAAGACCCTACCTGTTCCATGGCTTGTTTACATATTTAGGACTGTGAGGCATTCCCAGTAATTTAACTGCTTTATTGGCTCTTTGTGGGTTGTAATTGATCTCTGTATCTGTTCCAGCCCTGATATCTCTTGTGCTCTGAATGGAGCTTGTTATCTCTCAGTTAGAGAGAGCACAAGCTTCGGATTTAAATAGTGTCATCATTAGCACTATTTTTCTTGCTTTGGAAGTTCTCATTTTCCATAATGTCATTTTTCTGGCTTTCATGTCATTTGCCTCAATGCCTCCTTTATCTTTTCCCTCCAACCCTTCCTGAGGCTACCCCAACGTCTCCTTCCCTCCACCGTAGATTTATATACCTTTCTAGTTATCCTATTTTGCTCCATCCTCACTAAATGTCCAAAATGTCTAAATACAGTCATCCAGGGAGATACAGTGGACGATCATAATATGAATAGGTTATGTTCCTGAAAATAGTGTTACCAATGATTTTCGTGACTTATGGAGTGAATAACATTGGATAATATAACATTGGATAATTAGGGTTACATTCATCACCTCTCAAAAAGCCAGACAAGTTTTTTACTTCCCTGAACAGTATACTTCCATGCATTTCCTACCACCATCACCTTCCAGCATTTCCTACCACTATCACCTTCCAGCATTTCCTACCACCATCACCTTCCAGCATTTCCTACCACTATCACCTTCCAGCATTTCCTACCACCATCACCTTCCAGCATTTCCTACCACTATCACCTTCCAGCATTTCCTACCACCATCACCTTCCAGCATTTCCTGCTACCATCATCTTCCATTCTCACTTCTAAGGATTGGGAGAAGCCAGTTGCTGATGACTCAGCATAAGCATGTATTCCTTTCATAGCATTATCTGTGTAAAATGCTGACAAGTTGGCAAATTAATCCATTCACTGTTACTACCCCTGAAATTAATTAAAAGTGCTGACACTGTCACAGTTTTTTTTAACCCTTTGAGGGTCTGTCCCGTAGTTCTACGGCTTTGAAGCCTGGGTCCAAGCCGTAGAACTGCGGCTTGAGCTCGGCTCACTCAGATAACCTGTAAGCAGTAAATTTGGGCCTAGATATGAGAGAATACATCTGTGTGGCAAGTGTGCACCACATAAAACAAATACTGCAGCATGCAGTGCATAATGAGAGAAAAAACTGTGACAGTATTTTTGGATTAAAACAGTGACTGCAGTGTTTTTTGTATGTTTTTTACAGTTGTAGTCGTGATTTCTTGGTGTCATTTGATAGAATGGAAGATATATTACAGAAATGGAGATGATGCTGATTGGCTTTAGTACTGAAAATGGCTTGAAACTGAGCTCAAAGTAGCAGAAATGTTCAATTTTTGCCAGTGTTCAAGAGTAAACAAAAGATGTCACGTCTAATATATGTCAGCTGGTGGGTCTAATATGTGTTCACAAATGTGCTGATATTGTTTATACAATTATTACAATATTTCATAACAGTAAATCTTTTATGTTTTTGGTGTGAATAAAAATTCATTATGTGAATAAAAAATAAAAATGGAATTCATTTCTAGAGCCTGGAAATGTAACTAATAAAGAGAGGAAATGTTAGCTTAGTGCCAAGAATGCTTGCTTTGTTTATTCTGGACCCTGTTTTGAAATTGGAATATTTTGAACTTTGTGTTAAATTGGCCAAATTACCAATTTCCGATTACTTTATTGGGTAGTTGAAACAGTTGACTGGGTGATTTCTTGTGCTCACTCGATAAAATAGAAGTAATACTAGCGAAATAGCTAAGAATTTGGTCAACTGGAATAATGTAATTGGCCTAAAATGGGAGTCAAAGTCAGCAAAATTGCCGATGTGTAAATATCGCTGATGCGGCAAAATTCGCGAGAGCACAACTTCGTCAATTTTCCATCAAATTTCGTACTTTTTGTTTTATTACCTTCAGAAAAAATAACAAATTTTTTTTATGAAAATTCTTGGACCCTGGCTGTCACTGAGATTTGGCCTCTGGACCCTCAAAGGGTTAAATCTCCACCACAAGAGTACATTTTTGTGGTAATGAGTAAAAAAAAAATCCTGTCAGTACTTACGAAGATATACAGCTGTGAAGTTGAAGGTCATTGACCTGCTGATGGTAACATTGGTGATTGCTGATATTTACACTTTTTTTGTCCAGTAGCTGTTGTTGCCTATGACAGATTATGCACAAAGTATACAGCTAGCCATTGGATACAACACACTACCTGCAGGTAGCAGTGTCATCAGTGTATTACAGTAGGACCCCTGTATCCGCAGGAGATACATTCCAAGGACCTGCCATAGGTACCGAAACCATGGATAGTGGCAAACTGTATATATGTCCTATACATACCTATTATAAAGTTTAATTGATAAATGATACCTATTAAGTGGAGAATTATCACTTTTTCACTGACGGGAAGCCCTTAGGCTTTGAAGAACTGCCAGCTTCTCTACTTTTGCATTTTGGGGCCATTATTATGTAAAATTAAGGGTTATTTTTGGGCCACAATAAACAGTGGAAAACTGAAACCGCAGATACCGAATCAGTGGATATGATGGTTCTACCATATTTACAATATATTTATACACAGTGAAAACAGGTACTCTCCTAATTGTACTCGCCTAATTGTGGTTGCAGGGGTCGAGACTCAGCTCTTGTACCCGCCTCTTAACTGACCGCTACTGGGTCCTCCCTCTCCCTGCCTCCACTACATCACTTGCCGGACTATTCCACTTCCTAACAACTCTTTGGCTGAAGAAATACTTTCTACCATCCCTTAGGCTCATCTGAGTCTTCAACTTTCAATTGTGACCCCTTGTTTCTGTGTCCCATCTCTGGAACATCCTGTCTCTGTCCACCTTATCTATTCCACACAGTATTTTGTATGTCATTATCATGTCACCCCTGACCCTCCTTTCCCCCAGTGTTGTCAGACCAATTTCCCTTAACCTTTCTTCATAGGACATTCCCCTTAGCTCTGGAACCAGCCTTGCACAACATATCTGTCCATAGAGGCCTGTACCTCCCGTTCCTTTATGACATTCCTAAAGTGTTTCACAACATTGTCAGTGTAATAGTCACCAGCACGGCTTGCAATAGCTGTGTGAGGGTGATTTTCATCAAAAAAGGTTTGCACTTTAAGCCACATTGCACACATTTCCTTAATCTTTGAAGTAGGCAACTTCCTCAATTTCTCTATCCCCTCCTCCGAAGCAGTTTCCTTAGGTCTGGCCTCTTGCTGTTGAAGATGATCTAGCAGCTCATCAGTGGTTAGTTCTTCATTGTCCTCTTCCACCAACTCTTCCACATCCTCCCCACTAACCTCCAACCCCAAGGACTTCCCCAATGCCACAATGGATTCCTCAACTGGCATAGGATTCCCAGGGTTAGCCTCAAACCCTTCAAAATCCCTTTTGTCTACACATTGTGGCCACAGTTTCTTCCAAGCAGAGTTCAAGGTCCTCTTAGTCACTTCCTCCCAAGCCTTACCTATAATGTTTACACAATTGAGGATATTAAAGTGATCTCTCCAAAACTCTCTTAGAGTCAATTGAGTTTCTGAGGTCACTACAAAGCACCTTTCAAACATAGCTTTTGTGTACAGTTTCTTGAAGTTTGAAATGACCTGCTGGTCCATTGGCTGCAGGAGAGGAGTGGTGTTAGGAGGCAAAAACTTGACCTTAATGAAGCTCATGTCCGCAGAAAGTCGCTCTGCCACGTCTGAAGGATGACCAGGAACATTGTTTAATACCAGGAGGCACTTAAGGTCTAATTTCTTTCCAATTAGGTAATTTTTCACATTGGGGGCAAATGCATGGTGTAACCAGTCATAGAAAGTCCCTAGTGACCCATGCCTTACTGTTTGCCCTCCACAGCACACACAAATTAGCCTTGAGGACATCGTTTTTCCTGAACACTCTGGGAGTTTCAGAGTGATAAACCAATAAAGGCTTCACTTTGCAATCACCACTAGCATTGGCACACATCAACAGAGTAAGCCTGTCTTTCATAGGCTTATGTCCTGGGAGTGCCTTTTCCTCCTGAATAATGTAGGTCCTGCTTGGCATTTTCTTCCAAAACAGGCCTGTTTCGTCACAATTAAACTCTTG